TGACAAAATAAAAGTGAAGTGCAAGTTAGAAGTGCAAAGTATGTCATAGGATTTCATTTATTTTCAATGTCAGATTAGCCTTTTAAAGTGTGATCTAATGCCATGTGAAATTTGAATTGTTTAAATTAAGGGTTGAATCTAAATGTTTGACTTTGGGATCAATTGTTTTTTTAAGATGATCTCCAGATGAATCCACCATGTATCATATGTTGCAGCCCAATGTTACACTTACTATCAACCTTGGGAATTTCTCACGATCAACTGGTTTGTGTACAGTCAACATCGCAGAATCCCTGTGAAGAGAAAACACTCCCACTGGATTCTCATTGAAACCCGGTCCACTGATGGTGTAGTACACATTATGTTTGGCTTCAGAGTCCGACACAATCTAAAACAGAAACCCAAAATGATAACACAATTAAATATGTTTCCAGAGACAATTTCGTTATGCCTAGAGGAATAAATCACTGCATAAAGACAGCTGGAAGTAATGTGATAATAGACTTTTTTAGGTTGGGAGGAGGGGAGTGAGAAAAGGGGGGCAAGTGCAGGTAGAGGAAAACAAAGTGAATATTTGGACATGTATTGAAAATGCAGCCATAAAGACTTGAGAGACAGTGTTTAAGCTTATAAACACTACAATGCAAAGTATGTTATATGTTCAAGATTACATTTTCAATGTCTCTTGGATAAGGTCCCTTATCATTCTCTAATATGTTGAAGGGTGGTGGACTCCAACGTCTCTTGACTCGCTTCAGATAGTTTGAGGGACTGTGCTGTAACACAAACAGGTACAACACGTTAATACATGTTGTATAAAAGGATACACAAACTTGGAAAGTCTTGCAACAGCTTACCTTTTTTCCCTGTATTGCACTGTGAACAAGGTGGACAACCATCTCACTTTCCGGTCCATTGTTGTCCCGGACCCACACAGAAAATGTCCGCCCTGTTCCCGACACTGAAACAGGCCTTAGAGCTTCTATTGCGCCATTCTGTTTTATTTGGAAATTGGGGTCGCTCAATGTAAAGATCATAGAGTTGGTGTCGCAGTCGGCAACTTCAACTAAAAAAAAAGCGAGAGTGAATGGGTAAATGTGAAGGGCGGCTACTAAACAAACAGGCAATACTGGATGATATTATTCGAGCTGAAATGGATATAAAGTGTTCTATAAAGAATTTGTGGAGAAGCAAAAAGTACCTGTAGTTATTTTTCGCCCGGTCTGAATTGTTCGTGGCACAATTATGTACAGAGAGTCCGGAATAAAACATGACTCCACACCGGACAGCACCTGAAGTACAGTAGAAAGTCGGTCCTAAAGTGAATTTCTAAATATCGAACCAAATACCGGTGACAATCCCTTTGATAGCAAGTAATTCAATTATAACAACATCCTCGTAAATATAGTCGCTTAACACGATAGTCATACGTCACATGTGTATCGATAAAATAGTTCGGAGAGGAATTAAAAATAAACTGGATCACTTACCAACGCCAAGCAGAGATTGACAATTAAAACATTCGCCATTTTTTAGAAGTTCAATGCACTTTGCCGTAAAGCGGAACTCGTCCGGCAGTTGACCGTCTAAAGACTGACAGAGGATATATTTCTCACAGCGTTAAAAGAAGAAGAAACTCGTCTGATCCTGCACTTGTTGTCTGAATGGGACGTGCAGACTTTAGTCTAAGCCCTGGTATCTGAAAGTGAGTCAACACACAGACACACCTTGGCTGCCACACCCAGACTAAGATCCTCCCTGGTGAGATCTGCAGGCGAGGCGAATGCACCTTGTTGCTATCGGAGCACACGTCAACTTGTAAAAAAGTTTGCCCTTAAATATGGTTTTTTTCTGCCAGCAGGGGGAAACATTGCTCAAATAGTTTGCCAACTAATGTCATTCTGTAATAAATTATACAACGTTGCATGCAAACAAATCTAAACACTATAATGTCAAATGGAATTATATTAGTGTACCATATGTGGCATAAGTGCATATAAAATCACTGTAATGTTTTGCAGGTACATTTCTTATGATTAATATTGATGCTGAGCAGGTGGTTTTAGTGGTGTTAGCTTTAAATGAATGTCAAAGTGTAAAACATTCTCTAAAACACTTCTTTTTTTAGCCATTCTTGGGAAAATGACTTTTTGTTTGCTTGTTTTTCTGGTCTGAGAAAGCTGTCACAGGTCTCCTCGGAGAGTGACCTCTGTGTGCCCCTCCTCTCCACTGGAGCATTCTGGTAGGAGGAACTGAATTGCACTCCTCACTTAACGCCACAGGAATGTGAGCTGAATGAAGCCTGGTGTGGGGGAGGCTCTCTTCCCACAGTGAAGCGTTCACTATCTGTATAAACTGCTGATAAAATTGAGAGTGGTCATAGCCAGCAATATGTGTAATGGGGTAGGGAGACTTGTTTAAAAGTGCATAGGGAAGTCAGGTTACGTAGGAGTTGCAACAGGAAAGGTGAGAAAAATGTCAGGAAAACTGATCTGTTGTGACTCATGGGCGTAGACATAATGAAAGGGCTTGGTGTGTGTGTCTTAACAAAACAGACTCAGCAAAATACCCTCTTGTGTCACTCCCAAGCTAAAATGAAAGTGAGTTATAGTAGCACTCAGGCTTCTGTGTGTGTATCTATACACATCTTACGTATGTACTGATTTTGTCTCTGCTTATTCTATTGGTGACAGGATGTCTGACCTCTCACTTATCCGACACTCTCCACTCATTGTGATATACTGTGGTAAAACCAGGTGTATTAGGTTCTTTACATAACCAAAGCAATACTGGAATAATGGATTTTCGTCTAATTAGTACAGATCAATAAAAGCTAAAGATGATATATTTTTCAGCAGTCTCCATTTTTAACTTTAAAAGATAGCAGGGGTTGTTATGTCTTTTCAACACATCTGTTTTGTACTTTGATTAGCTTCCCACGTATGACACCTGTATCAATAAGATGTTGTGAAACCTAGTTTGGCAAAAAACGCCTGCATGACGAAAACAAATCGTGTGTGCTGCCAGGAATCATCGTGTACTCATACTGTATGTACGCTGCATAATGTGTTCAGGCACATTGATGTAATTAAAGGCTAAGACAGATCCAGTTTTTAAAATTTATGACAGTGACATATTTGTGCTGCGATCAAAACATTTGTTAAATTCAACTGCTCCACCCTTCTGGTGGGTGCCAGTGAGAGGCAGGATGGGAGCGTTCATGTCAAATATGATGGTTAGTATTTGGGTGAGACAAGTTGGTCACTGGTGATTCTAGAGTATATGTGACTAACAACTGTCTGATTATTAGTGTGTCATTGTCACATTGAAATGCATGAAACTTTGTAATCAACCATAAAATAATTGTGCTTGCCAGAAACCACTTACGTTAGCAGATTATTAGAGCCCGGCACACCATCTGAAACATCTACAGCTATTGTTTCGTAGCGATTGATTGATTGATTGAAAATAAAGGCTGAGTTCGAAGTTGGATGTGACCTGAGCAATGGAGTCAAAATGCCACCTACCCCTACACAGGCCACCACTTGGCCCCCCCTCCACTTAAAGTCCCTGACCCTATTTGGCATCACAGCTTGTGATCCCATTACAAAATGTTCTCTCATGCTCAAACAGTTTTGGAAATGTTTCACTCAACTTCATGGTAATGTTTACTATTGAATTGTAATGAGATATGCTAAGAGATGTTTTAATATGTTGTATACCCTTATAAATGATGGTTGAATCAACTCCTCTCTCAACAAAAAACTAACTTTTTGAAGATATGATGTAATATAAAGCTGCCATTAGTTGTAGGGAGGTGTACTTACAGGGGGAAAAACTGCAGTTTAGTGTTATCTTTCCAAAAATGAAAATATGACATACATATTATAATTCAGCTCTCCAAATTGTTACGCTGTTTATTTTTGACATATTACATTGCATTAGTGCAACTAATGCGTAGATTATAGCCTTACTGATAGCAAATATACCATCAAAATAGCCATATTCACAAACAGGAATGTGTTTTTTTGGTGGGCAACTTTGGCAAAATGTAAGAAATGGGTTTTGTTGGGGGCAATTTTGGCAGAATGTAATAAATGTGGTTTGGTCACTCAATCTGGACAGGCATGAAACGCAATACCTTTAAATTATGATTTAAGGAAATTGATATCTACAATCTCACACAGTGCAAGAATGTGCAAAAAAAAAATACTGAGGTGCAACATTTTTTAATGTATTTGACTCATATCATATTTAACTGTCAAAACCACCCATTCACCTTTGTGCCTATGTTTCTGTTAGAAGCTGATAAAGATGAAGCCAATGAATAAAAAAGGTTATTGCTCCAAAAGCAATCACTCTCACTACCATCAGACAAATTCATCAGAATTTAGTTGTAGAAACGATTGGCCTAATCAGGCAAGATAATAGCCTACCGATACTGTTTCACCTCTCCCACACACCGTTGACCATGAGGATTCAATGTTTCATGTATCCTGGCAACAACAATTTTTTTCTCTCTGTGTTTCCCTGTTAAACAAACAACTCACCAACGCCTAGATCCACACACATTTACACAGTCCAGTGTGCAACTCACCGTTTATGAGAGCTGCACTCTGGGAATTTCACAGGCACAGGTGATGTTTAACAGATGAGTAGGAAAGTTGGTCTCTGAGGAATCCAATACTTTTTAAATAAACTAAATCACCATCAAAATCAGAAATATGAAAAAGTAGATTTAATCACATGATAATCCCACACTGCAAAGTCAAGGTGGACATTTATTGTAGGCCTATATGATTTTTTAATTAAAAAAAACAAGCATTAGGCCTATCTAAAAAATAACCACTTCAGATTCATAATAAAAGCAGTTTTGGACACATATTTTTCCGATTCTGGTAGGATTTCCTCTCAGTCCACTCTTTTGTTCTGAAGACAATAGACTGCACATGCATATTACAGCTCACCGTGGATATAACCTCCCCCTTTCTCCGCCTGTTATCAGCAACTGTGAGCAATCAAATGGAGAGGAACTGCCTCTCGCTGTAAAAGTTCTTCCTCCCCTCCGGAGGGTCAAAGTCTGAACGAAACCAACGCCAGACCACGGAGAGTCAAATTGACAAGATTTAACTTCGAGGAGAGGATTAACGGAGTTTATATTTCTGAAGGCGATGGCTACACTGCTGAAATGCAGCATTTTTATTCTGCTGGTGTTCTTCCTGACTGTAAGTAAACAATGTAATAGGCGCTTTACATTGTTCACATATCCATTATCGGGTGTGTACCGGGTTTAACACGGGTGTGGCTGTTCTCTGGTGGGATTTTAGCGTTTAGATACATTTGTTCAGGTAGTTCAAGTAAAAACAACGGCTTTGCTGTTAAAATGCGCTTTCTCCATGGACACTGGTGAACAATGCTAGGAGTTCACGGAACCGTTATTGTTTATTTCCTACAATAACTAACCATAACTTGGTCTGGCAAATACGGTAGGCTATTGATCAAGACGTTGTCGCTCATCGATTACCCCTGATGATTTTTTACGTACAAGAAGTCTTGAGGCAAATAAGATGTTGATTTTTTTTTAAATGATATTACCAAGTCCCTATTATGTTGTGTAAAGTTATGCACAGTTTTCCTAAGAGACGATGACATACCGTATATATTTAACATGATGATTGACAGATCATATTTTTCTGTTGACAATGAAATAATCAATTAGCTGTTAAGATACATCTTGGTGTTTTCTTTAAGAACCCTAATGAGCCTAACCTCTCAAGATAATACATTATTTGTAAGTTAATGCCATATGTGTAACGGCCAGGAGCAACAATATTATGCAGTTTTGACTTTTTAAATGTATTTTGTACACATTAATCACGTTTTCCCTCCGTTTGTTCACCTGCAGCTTGTTCCTGTGTCAGCCGAAGGAAAGGGGCAGGAATTACGCAGACACAAAAGAGAATGGATCATAGCTCCCAGACAGTTGAAGGAGAACCATGATTACACCACCCTGCAGAGTATTGCTAGAGTGTGTAACCTATTTTGTTATTCATTTCTAAATAATTATACTAAAACTAAATATCCCAATGAGGTATTTATGATTGTTCAAACATGTTTTCACAACCCTGCAGCTATTGAATGTAGTCACAGTAACTTTACATGTCTAACAATAATTAACTATCGTCAAGTTAAGTCATGGTATTTCCCACATTAGTTTTACCTTCATGTCACCTTTGTATGCGCTAAACCTAGTTTAATCTCTGAGTGTGTGTGACAACAGTACTCCCATGTTCATGAGTCATTATACAGTAGGACACACAATAGGCGCATTCACACCGGAGTACTTTTCCCCGTACTTTCCCTGTTTAGTTCCGATAGTGCCTGGAATTTTGCGTTCACACCAAAAAGAGTTCCGAGAACTTTTACCGTTTAATTGTTAGTACCTGCTAGAGAGGTTGTACTATCCTGGTGAGAAAAAAGTACCAATTTGGATTGGCTGGGCGAGTTGCAAACCACGCCCCGTAAAACTCTGAAACGTTTTGTGAAGCCGCGATTTTATTTGCTGGCATTAGCATTATTAGCATTAGCCCCGCGCAACAACGGAGAGAGAATAACTTATGGCAACACAAAAAAAAACATGGGAGCGGTGGAGTGATGAGGAGGTGTCGGTGTTCCCAACTCCAGGGACTTCCGGCCGGGAACTTCGGGTGGCAGTATAAACCAAGCCCCCAGGAAGTGCGCCGGCGTCTGATGAGAATATTCGTGCTGGTCAAACGGCGGTACTACACTTCCTTTAGGTTGCTGGGCCCAGAAACACTTTTTCCCATTGACTTAGGCTACATTGGGAAAGAGTGGTCTGTAACTCGTTGGATCATTTTTTAAAAACTAAATAAACTACCCAGTATGAACGTTTGTATAGCCCTTATTAAAAACATTCGTTCCTCAAGTTGTAAACATGTGCTAATAACGTTATTCTGTGAGTTATTTCCCTCGGCATTGTGAACGCGCATCTAACCCACGGGACCGCGCTGCCCGGCATGTTCATGTTACGTGTTCAGTACTACATGCGTTTATCTTTACCCATGGATGCACAATAACAACGGACCCATATCGCCTTACTGCCACCCCACGGAGCTGTAATAATGGATATATTGCACATGTTTGCTGTAATTCATCATTTGTAAAATAGTATACTACATGGGCTGTATGATGTAAATATTGTACCGTAAATGTTGTATTAAATAAAGTTAATATTACCGACGTAGATTAACGTTCCTGTAGCTTCTTATTGCACTTGCAATTGTTTTAGTTACTTGTGGGCTACTTAACATGAATAATCACAGTTACTATCCTTTTACTCCATCACATTTCAAAAATAAATATGCTATTGTTATTTTAACTCCACCACAGTAATCCATCATCAGCTTTACTTTTTAGATAAAGTTTTAACTCACAATTGATCATAACAGGCTTCAACATATACATTTGTATATATTACCAAGTGGTTTCATGTACAACCCACACAAGTATCATGCTAAATTAAGCTCTGTTGCTTGGATATCACTAGATCCTGATGTCAGCGTAATATAAAAGTACATAACGATTGATGTGTAACTTAGCATAATTTACTAGCTAGCCGCTAGCTGCCGCCTCGTTAATATAAATCCAGTACCATGCTGTCATGAACGCGCGGTGCTGTTACGTGTACGCAAATTCACGTGCTTAATGTGAACGAGCCTTTTGGGCGGCGTGGTTAAAGTTGCGCATGCTCTATGAGTGCATATACGGGTACTTCTCAGGCATGCCGGGTAATCTGTGATGTTTCGCTCTCTCAAAAGTTGGGCCATTTTGTCATCATGCGCCATTGAGCAACTCTCATAGGAATGAATGAGGCCCCGCCTCCCACGCTGTATCCAGTTCTTATTATACATCCATGGTATAAACCCAAAGCAGAAGAAAAAAAAGTGACGTCAGCGGCTTCATTTGCGTAATCTTCCCTCATGGAATTTATTCTGGCGTGAACGCGATCTGTACTAGTTCCATGGGGGTACTAAGTGCTGGGCACTAAGTACGGCAAAGTATTTGGTGTGAAAGCGGCAATTGCCGCTTTCACACCAAGTACTTTCACCTTTGTTGGTGTGAACGCGACATAAGGGGTACTAACGGAACTAAACGGGAAAAGTACTCCGGTGTGAACGTGCATATGAGTACATCTTTGTCTGATGTTTATACAAACACTCACCTGTCGTCTAAAGACTGTCTAGTTTCATTAATTAATTATTGGATCTCTTTGTATTCGCTGATCATATGTAAAATCTTAATTAAAAAAATTAACTAGAACATTTTTCACAACAGCATATCATAAGGTCTAGATTTCAAGTTAAGGTGGATTCATTTTGTGTTTGTGTATTTCTTTTTCAGATTCGATCCGATAAGCAGAACCACACAAGGATAATGTATTATCTATCAGGGCCTGGAGTTGACCAGCCACCTGTTGGCGTATTTCGTGTGGACTCCGATGGCTATGTGAAAATCTATTCTATTCTGGACCGAGAGAAGACCCCCTTTTTTCGTGTAAAAGCCCTTAAAAATCCTATTTGTAAAATGTAAAGAGTTTACAGTCATAATATCAAGTTGTACATTGCGCAAATGGTAAACCAATTCTAATGTTCCTTTTTATAGTTGAAAGGTATGGCGAAATACGCTAACGGGACCCGAGCTGAAAAGGATATTGACCTTAACATTACTGTTTTGGATGAAAATGACTGCACACCGATCATCAAAGTACAACAAGTTGGATATGTCAATGAATCGAGCGCAATAGGTAGTCATCTACAGTATTTTTGTAGAGGAAACTTTCTTTAACCTGCACTCAATGATGTGATACTTAATTTATTTCCTTTGGTGATTCCTAGGTACTGTTGTGATGAAAGTAATTGCTACGGATGCTGATCAGAAGAACACAATCCACTCCAGGATTTTCTACAGTATTGTGGAGCAGAGCAGCTCAGCTGGGATGTTCTTCATCAACTCTCAGACTGGAGAGGTCATGGTTCAACAGAACAGTCTGGATAGGGAGGTGAGGCTTTTTACTGACTTGAAATTATTCTTTTGTTGTCTAGTACAAACAATTGTCTTCTATGGAAGAACTTTCAAGTTGTAAAGCAGTAGTAGGAGATGAACCGTTTGTATCTTTCACCATAAACAAGTTTGAATGAAAACTATAATATGTGACTTGGTGCATTGAATATTTGATCTTTTCTTTTTAGACACAAGATACATATACATTGACTATAACAGCTACAGACATGGATGGACAAGCTGGAGGAAAAATTGGAAGTGAACAAATTTCGGTCAAAATTCTGGACATAAATGACAATATTCCAACCCTTGCAAAAGAATCGGTAGGTGTGAATAATTTATCAATACATTAATACATGTTATTGTCTTTTCCTAATAATGTTCTAAAGCAACAGTTTGCATGTGTTTTATTTGCAGTATGAAGGGAGTGTGCAGGAGAACAAGGTCAATATGGAAGTGATGAGGATGAAAGCCCTTGACAAGGATCTGATTAACACTGCAAACTGGGAAGCTATGTACACAATAATTTCAGGGAATGAGGCCGGCTATTTCAGTATCACTACTGATTCCAAGACCAATGAAGGAATTATCATGATCAATAAGGTAAGAGAGTAATTTGTAAACGGTTTCATTTGACCTAGTAGGAGTATACTGTACTTAACTATAAAAGATAATCTCACCAACAAACTGTGTAATATCCTCAAATCTGCAGGCTTTGGACTATGAGGAGATTAAGTCGCTTAACTTGGAAGTAGCTGTTTCCAACAAAGCAGCGTACAGTTTTGGCAGTGGTTCTGCGACAGGGGCTGGGGGTTCTGCGACAGGGGCTGGGTCTGGATCTGGGTCTGGATCTGTAGTCTCAAAAGCCTACCCCGTTAAAATCAATGTGGTCAATGAGAAGGAAGGCCCCCGATTCCAACCAAGTGTCAAAGTGGTGACTCTCTCTGAGGACCAAACTCTCGTCTCCATCAACAAAATCATCGGAAACTATGCTGCTATTGACAGTGATACCCTACAGACAGCCACCAACGTAAAGTATGGCCACAAAGTGAATGACGAACAGATGTAAAGATATCTCTAAATGTGTGTGTTTTACATGAATAGCTTGTTTTTTTGTCCTCACATATATGGTTTTTCGTATAGGTATGCTAAACTCAAAGATGATGACAACTGGTTGATTATTGATGAAAAGACAGCAGATATCCGGCTGAATAAACTGCCTGACAGAGAGTCCGCTTTCTTGGAAAATGGGACATATTATGTCGAAATTATATGCACCACCGATGGTTAGTTCTTCAAAATGTAACACTATTCTCCAGTGGTATGTTGCAAATGTAATATTAATCTCTCTTTCCATTGGATTTCAGATAATCCCTCAATAACAGCTACGGGGACCATAGCAATTCAGGTGGAGGACTTTAATGATCATTGTCCAACACTGATCGCTACAACGCAAACAATGTGCCTCGAGGATCAAGTGATCTACGTCACGGCCGTAGACCAAGACGAATTCCCCAATTCTGCCCCATTTGAGTTCACTGTGATTGGGGGGAGTAGCGACGGGAAATGGACTGTGGAGAGTCTTAATGGTAAGATAACGATTACGACTTCTAAAGTAAAACAGTAAAACAGGTATTTGGCTTTAGTGTTCTTTAATAATTACATAAAAAGGACATGTTTACACCATATTCCATATTCAGCTATAGTTTTCGGCTCCAAAATGTTAGAATTCTATAGACTTTCCAGCATATGATCATTTCAATGCTGTATAGTTCTTTGATTTGTTCATTTCCTCTACTAAACAGACAATTGGCAAGCATTTTTTTTTTCTAGTTTTGGGGCATTGTTTTTTACAGCCTGTTCATGTCAGTTGTTAAAAAAGGGTCCATCTTTCTTTATAAAGAAATGAACAACTGTAGACACAAGCAAACCCACTCATGCAGTACATTTTAAAATGTGAGTTTCCTTTTTCTTCAGCAACGACATCCATTCTGCGAGACCATGCCAACTTGTGGCCTGGCTCTTACAAAGTGGCAGTGGAGGTCAAAGACCAGCAGGGAAAGTCCTGTGCTGATGTGGAGATGGTGGATGTAGATGTGTGCAGTTGCGGAGACAAAACCAAAACCTGTAGGGAGCGTATTTCAAAGGCAGCCGGTTTTGGAGCTCCCGGTATCCTGCTTATGCTCCTGGGCCTGCTGCTCCTGTTGTGTGAGTATTTCTTGTTGACTTTCTTTTTCTGGCTGGTTATTTTGATAACAATCATTAACTTTACTCTACAAGTTTGCCATACCTAACTAGATAGTGTGGCAGATCAAGAATCTACCATGCATTTCACAATTATTTGTTATGTCTATACATGAGTTAAAGCCCTCTGTTAAAAAGTAAATAAATTATAATTGGTTGGACCTTATTTGAACTTACTATAAGTTACTTACTATATATCTTACCTTATAAGAATTTCTGTTGACATGGTGTAAAACGTTTATTTTTCAGTGCTGCCCCTGTTGCTGCTGTTCTGCCTGTGCGGAGGTGCAGCAGCTATTGGAGATTTCAAGGCTATACCATATGATACAAAACAACAGCTCATCTCATATCACACTGAGAGACAAGGAGAAGACAAGGTGCTTTGATTAATATACAATAATTAAACAATGTTTAGATATATTTAGTTTAACAAAATGTGTCAACCAAATTTGCCTAAATGTTGCATCTCTAACAAGATCTCAATTATTTCTTGCAGGAAGTTCTGCATCTGCTTGCACCATTGGATCATGGTGGAAGCCATGTGAATATGAAGGACATCAACAACTTTGGAGATAACATGTACATATCTGGGGTGACTGGTGGAGGAGGTTTAGGCGCTGGTCACACCTTGACATCTGAGAACATGCAGAAGAACATGTACAACCGTTATAATAACGGAATGGACTACGTTGATGGTGGGATGATGACGGGACAAGAACATAGTTTCTCTCGTTCTGGGGCTGGGGCTGGGGCTGGGGCTGGGGCTGGGGCTGGGGCTGGGGCTGGGGCTGGGGCTGGGGCTGGGGCTGGGGCTGGGGCTTGGGCCTTTGATGGGATGGCTCTGTCCAACCAATACCTGGAGGAGTATTATTCAAGTGTGAGTACATAAAACCCCAGCCCAAAACCTAGAAAATACCATTTAAAATATACAACTTTAAATGTGATTGTTGTTGTTATAACGAAAACTTATGAAATGCTTATCTTCTTATTTGCAGAAATACAACCATGCTGCACAACAATCCCAGGGGAAGGACGCTCTGCTGGTCTATAACTATGAGGGTCAGGGGTCCCTGGCGGGTTCTGTAGGTTGCTGCAGCCTTCTTGAAAATGACGATGACCTTGCGTTCCTCAATGACCTTGGGCCTACATTTAAAACCCTGGCTGAGGTTTGTCATGGGTCAACTTTTGTGAGCAAGTCAGTGGATGCAGGGGTTTATGTCTCTCCACCCAGACCAGTTTCTCCTGTCTGGCCCTCCCCCTCCACCCACACACATGTAAGCACTCACTCAGAAACAATCAGGGACAGGGACCACGTCAACATCAGCACTCTCAACACCTCTAATTTAGCATCTGAATCCTCCACTTTTGTGCAGGAGGAGCGAGTCACTGACATAGCCCAGGGTTCAGCATCTGTTCCCACTGTACATGTCCAAGACAAGATAATGATTCCCAGTCAGACGATGCTCATACAGCAGCCCACTATGTACTATGCCGCCACGCCCATGTATGTAGTTGAGTCCAATCCCCAAATGGTGCTTGTGACAGGGGGAACCCACGGGGCAGTGGGTCAAGTAGGACAAGTTGGGTTAGGTCAGGGGCTGATGCAAGTTGGTGGTCTACAAGGCTCTCAGGGTATGGTCCTTGTGGATAGACAAGTAGGAATGGGTGGAATGGCAGGGCAAGTAGTACAAGGCATTTCACAAGGAACTCTCTCCAGATCCGGACAAATGTTGGTGGTGGAGAATGCGTCCTCAGGTGGAGTGCAAGGAGCACACATAGCCCAGGGCTTTCTTCAGACAGGACATGAGTCTGCAGGGCAGGGTTTGGAGGTCAGAGGGCAAGGTGTGCAGTTTCAAACTCAGAGATTTTCTTCTAATTCTCGCAGCTCTACAGGGTCCAATGAGGAGACTGCTCTGAAAGCCACACCCAAAACAAAGGGAAGCCAGAAAGTGGTTGTGCAACGTAAGAAGATCTCAGTCACTGAGAGAAATATTGAATCGAATACAAGAGCTTAAAGCAGCCAATATTTAATTTTAGCATATCCACTAATTTCATGCTTCTTTTTAAATATACTCCAGTACATTTGAGTAAACTGAACTATACCGGGGTATATGTACATACAGATGTACAAATTGTAGTAAATCTGGTAAAATAATAGTTTACTCTACTTGACCAAAAGTGCAATACTGTATGTCTTTATCTAGTTAACTAGACTACATGACAGTGTTAGCTATCAAATAAATTTGTCCATACTAAAACTATTAAAATGATATTTGTTGTTGCCAAAAAGTGGATTGATTTATTGTATGCTACCTGCTAAAATTAGGCTCTGTCAACATTAGTGTAAAGTATAGAATTTGGCAAACCCTCTGACATTTGGAGGCTCTGTCTTTATTTCTGTACTTTCAACCCAGCAGAGGAAAAACCTTAGCAAGTGTGATAACTCTCTTAACTCCAACAATGACCATTTAGGCACCAAAGAACAGCCATAAACGCAATGTGTATATTTCAGGTGCACAACTAAATAGCTTCAGGGCAGCAACAGCCAAGTATATAAAATGGAGCAGTGTTTAACCTATCTCCTATTGCAGTTAAATGTCAATTCCCTGGTTTATGCTCCTCAAGTCTCACAAGGTTATTATGTAGGATGCAGATATTTCGTTTTCAAAATCCAAATATCCCAGCATCTGACAAAAAGTTATGTACAGTAATTGCTACAGTTATACTATGATTACTATGTACTGTGGGACAGTTAATCTAAACTGTTTAACTTATTCTTGAGTATAACAACACAGAAAGTTCATAGAATCCTAAACTTTAGTCGCTTACTGAAAGTTGAAATGACTATAATTAAACCATAAGTTGTTAGCATTTAGCGGTACAACTACTGAGAGAGGGACTAAGGCAGAGGTAAAACAAAGTTTTGTAGCTACTGTAATTTTGCATGTTTCTATATATGCTTTGAACACTAGATTCCGCTCTCTAACATCTGTATTTTGATTATGTGTTGTAATTATAAAGATGCTATAGTTACATGTTGTAATAGTTAGCTTTAGCCATGCATGATGCGTCGCTGACCTTTTACAAATTGTTGAAGTTAGTTATACTAACTAATCTACAAATACTATATGGGTGGCCTCTGTTTGGGAGATAGATAAGGCTGTGTTGACTGTAGACCGGAGAAAAGTGTGTGAATGATGAATGGCAATGTAAAGAGAGCAGACTGTTTTTAACATTAGACAACACACAGAAGTCAACACAGACTATAAACCAAAGAGAATACTGCACAGATTCTCTATTTTATCGTTGCACTATTTGTATTATTTCTACAGAGCATGTGGTTTTTCTAAATTGTAAAGACCTTAAAAAAGATTTTAGTGCCAAATCTTAACAAAAATAATGTGTACAATAGCTGATGGACCTATTTTATCAAATGTATATTGTGTCATACTTACTTAACTAAGACAGGCTTTTGATTGTTTAATTTGTTGTTGTGTGCTGTTGACAGGGTGTTGGGTATGTAGATAGGTAAAATGGATGAGCTTGCCAAGCACTGAAAACATTTGGTTAAATGACGCCGTTTGATATTGCTGTTCTTGCTATAGATTTACAAATGCCATAGATGCTATAGTTTCATCAAAGCAGTATTGGTCATGATAATGGGGATGTTTCTTCTTTTTTTAAGTTTTGCACCTTCTGTCGTAATAAAATTGAATTAAAAAAAGCCATTGTATTGACCTGTTTGTGTGTGTTGTAACAAGTGCATGGAAACTGCACATTACATTACTCAGTGCCTTAGTTAAGGGACATTATTTTACTGTTGAAATGTTCCCGTCATTACGTTTTTAACAGGAACGGCATCATTAATACACATTGAGTTTGGATTTTCACCCGCTAAAAACACTCAAACAGAATTGTAAAGTCCTCTTTCTAAAAGTTTTTGAAAAATATATATAAATACTACATTTTTAAATTGCTCATCTTAATGTATATATAAAGCCATTTACACATTTGCAGTCATCTTTTATACCTAAACCACAAAACGTTGTAAAATGCTTCATTGAGGGGGAGTTTCAAGAGAATATCTTCAAGCTCTTCCAAGTAGACAATTGGCATACCTACATATGTAGAACAAATACAACTGGTTTCTTTGTAGCTGACTAAAAAGGATTCAGTCATGCTTAACATAAACAAAGAAGGGAAAGTAGAAAAGCAGGTCTCCTTCATGGATTTGTATCCAGGTCATTTACAATGCAGGTAGTCTGAAAATGGCTAAGAGTTGATTTAAATAAGATTTGGCTGCATGAAAGGCCTGCGTGTAGTTTTCATCTTTTAACCAGAGCTTAGAGCTGAGCTGTGAGAGGTTTTAATTTAAATTGTAATGTGTTTTTATGTCAGTTAACCAGTCATGCTTTCAATAGATGGGCGTATGGTATTGGTTAGATGGTGCACAAGCTGCATACTGTCCCTAAGGTATGTATCCTTGTTGGCAAATGTAAAGTATAAGATACAGCAGGAAAGAGTTTTCCGTTGAGTTGGGAAAAGTTAACAATGTATCTTTTCAGGTTGCCTATTAAAGAGTAAAAACTATTCTAAAGGGACTTCTGTTTTTTCAGACAGTTTAACACTCATACATGCATATTTTTATTTGTGTGTATTTGATGTGTAAGCTTGTAATAAATCAGAGCGGTAACTCAGTTCTACTTAGCAAAGATCTTTCTCTTTTTCTCTGCAAGTTTGGGATCAATCAATCAATCAATTCCATATTTATTTTATTGCACCTCATTTTCTCTAAAAAAATGTGTTACTTTTAGTTTATTTTTTCACATAATAAGGCCCATTATGATAAATGTTTTTCCCTTGGGTCCAGGGCAAACAATTGTAAGTACTCAGCTTCGTGTTTTTCTTGGTTTTGCTAAAGCCATCAGTCGTTTTAAGCTGTTTCACCACATGTCAAATGGAACATTCTTGCTTTCACAGACATGACTGGGGTGTGGAGGGACGTAACATTTTTGTTTTGAAAACCTCAAACCCCTTGGAGAGTATTTCAACAGCCAGCTTCTACTCTAACTTTTTGAAAGGCAAAGTATCTTGCCATGATTCCAATCTTCATATCAACAAGTTTCATCATGTCACTTTCATCGTGTGCATTTCAAGAACGTGTTTTGACATCACTCTGAATGTTTTGTAACTATTTATTTGTTTACTGTCACTATGGGATCCTCCCTGGCTGCTTGGAGTGAAGATTTCAAAAATAATTTTACAATGGCTTTGACACTTTTAGGCAATTCAAATGAAGCAAGACTCTCTCTGGTAAAATGTTAAGCCGTATATCTCTTCACTTTATATACTGCAGAATGGATCTGATATGAGGCTGCTAATCGATGTTCCTTTTACATTCCAGTACATTAAAGGATAGGGCTAGGGAATTCTATATATTTATAATTCCCGACAAATCCCAAAAAGACAAAAGCTATAATGCAGTTGTCCTTTAATACTTAACATAGAGCCCCAAGCCCATTCCTTCGATGTTTAAACAGCTGATTCTGTTGTACTGGCACCACATACTATACTGGCCAAATTAGGTGGTTTTGCACCACCAAACCATGAAAAGGGATGAAGAAAAAACAGGTTGAAAAGCAGGAGTTTTGCGAAGAAAGTAGCAAAAATGTATTTCGGGAATAACACTTAAATATTCTCAAGCAAAAATACCCTAAGCAAAACAAAACAGCAACCTCATAGTAATCTGCCAACACCCCTTCCTTTCTAAGATGAATAACATTTCACCTTCTCAGCCACACCTCACTGCCCATGTTAGGATAGGGTGAGCTGAACTTAGTAATCATCCAAAATAGTAATAAAGTAATGAACCCACCATAAATACAAGATATTTAAGTTACTTCTGACATCATAATTCATTTTTGGCAATCAGTACATACAGATGAGCACACCATATATAACATTTTATCAACTGAAGAACTATGACTGATCCTCTCTATAACAGGTTACTGATCCTCCCTACAACAGGAAGTTATGGGGAAACATGTTTGGACTTGTCTTCTGTATTGCATCATCCCAGTCAAGCAAACTGATAATTAAAAGTATTAACACTGTTAATGTTGGGGAACAGGAACCAGGTGAAAAGGCAACCTTTTCACAATCACATATATTTTCCTCAATCTTTAAAAAGTTATTTTCTCAAAAAGATAGGCTCTGTACTGTTTACTGCACTAAGACTGTTTATGTGAACTCAAAATAAACAACATTGCCCAGGTGTATTGTTATGATGGAGCAGGTCATCTGGTCTTTGCAGTTTATTGATGGGTTTTTAATAGTTTCTAGACAACAATTGTTGTCTTTGGCACAAATTAATAATCTACAGGCAGATATAGCTAAACATATAATACTTTATAGTACGTGTAGCATTAGATTGTGTGCTGGTTTTAAGTTTAATGGTATTTATTGACAAATAAAATATATAGAATACCATCATCCCTTAAGAAAAGGACGTCTTATGAATACTATAGAGTTTTATGGTTAAAATATTAGACTAACACGAAACACCTAAAACAAGGAAATATTTAGCAATAAATGCAAAGTTATGTTTGCCCTTATTTTTGCACATATTAAATAAAAAGACTACAAGTATTGACAGGACTTGAACTTTATTGGAGACTTGAACAGTGAATGCACGTTGGAGTATGTTACAAAACTGTGTTTGAGAACAAGACTGTACTTATTTTTTAAAACTGGCAAAGCGTGACTAAAACCTATTATGATAGTACTTGCACGTTTTCTTTGTTTCTAGCACCACTCATGATTTTTGTCAGAATAAGCCATACGTTTATGCAATATTATTTTAAGCTTAATAGCTATATTTTATTGTGATCTGCACACTGCAATTTGTATTTGTACACCTGCATCTCTCAAGTACCTTATATGATCTCACTGCGCTGTCCAACAACAATTCATATTTATAAGGGATTTTTTCACTCAATGTCATGTTAGTGTTTTACAATCAGTGGCGAACATCATGACGGACCTCTTCCTCGTCCTCTATTTCATCTTCTTCATACTCGCCCATCTCATCAGCCGTCGCATCCTGGTACTGCTGGTACTCAGACACCAGGTCATTCATGTTGCTCTCAGCCTCAGTGAACTCCATCTCATCCATTCCCTCGCCGGTGTACCAGTGGAGGAAGGCCTTGCGGCGGAACATGGCAGTGAACTGCTCAGAGATCCTCCTGAACAGCTCCTGGATGGCTGTGCTGTTGCCAATGAAGGTGGCGGACATCTTGAGACCACGGGGTGGGATGTCGCAAACAGCGGTCTTGACATTGTTGGGAATCCATTCAACGAAGTAGCTGCTGTTCTTGTTCTGTACACTCAACATCTGCTCATCCACTTCTTTCATTGACATACGACCGCGGAAGATGGCTGCCACTGTGAGGTAGCGTCCGTGACGAGGGTCACAGGCTGCCATCATGTTCTTAGCATCGAACATTTGCTGTGTGAGCTCTGGCACGGAGAGGGCGCGATACTGCTGACTGCCCCTGCTAGTGAGGGGTGCAAAGCCTGGCATGAAGAAATGCAAGCGAGGAAATGGCACCATGTTGACAGCTAGCTTACGGAGGTCAGCGTTGAGTTGGCCAGGGAAGCGCAAACAGGTGGTCACCCCACTCATGGTGGCCGACACCAGGTGGTTGAGGTCTCCGTAGGTAGGTGTGGTCAGCTTCAGGGTGCGGAAACAAATATCGTACAGGGCCTCATTGTCAATGCTGAAGGTCTCATCCGTGTTCTCCACTAGCTGGTGGACGGAGAGAGTGGCGTTGTAGGGCTCCACCACAGTGTCGGACACCTTTGGGGAAGGCATGACGCTGAAGGTGTTCATGATGCGGTCAGGGTACTCCTCACGGATCTTACTGATGAGCAGCGTACCCATACCTGAACCTGTGCCTCCACCCAGGGAGTGGGTGAGCTGAAAGCCCTGCAGGCAGTCACAGTTCTCGGACTCCTTTCTCACCACGTCCAGTACCGAGTCCATCAGCTCAGCACCCTCGGTGTAGTGACCCTTGGCCCAGTTATTTCCTGCTCCACTTTGACCTGCATGATGCATGCAATGTTTAAAGACAAATCATTGGATTGTTGGATGTTGGATGTTGACACTTGTCTTTATTGATGAATTGCCATAACATTGTGTACAAACATTAATGATACCCAAAGGATGGATCTTAATGATTGACCCCTGCCCCCTTTCAGAAGAATATCGCCTAACTTTGTGTAGCGCCGCCATCATAAGATAACATTTTGAATTTTCTCAATACATTCCCATCAGCCCAGCTGTACTTTGTATTAAGTGCCTATTTGGAATTGTAATATCCTTATAGGCTTAACTACATGGTGAACATGTTAAACATCATATCTACATGTTTAAATTGTCATGTTACTATTTAGCTCATAGCAACAGTATTCCTAAGGACAGCCTGACAGCCGCTTTAGATAGACACTCTTTTATTTACAACCTTGCAACCATTATGTTTTCTAATGCCTTACTTATAATCTACAGTATCAACTATTGCTAGATGTGTTTTAACGATTATTAAGGCCATTTTTTATATATGTTAATATATTCATCTACATTTTTGTAAAGTATAAGTTTGAAACAGGCACTCAGATGCGTTAAGTTGTTACATGATTAAAGCAGTGTAATCATTAATAAATTAGCTCTTTAGCTCTATTGAGATCTGATTAACTTAAACATATATAATGGAGAGTCCTCCTGTGTTGCAGTTTATTGGCCCCTACATGTGAGCAGCACTGCAGCATCATCTCCTTGTAGATTTATTTTTCACTGAGTCACCATTAGAGCTGTCTAAGCCCTTACTCAGCTGCACATGGGCAATGCATCACAAAACTGGCACATTGCTGAGATGCTGCAGAAGCTACATGCTGTAAATAATATTGTTGTACAGTGCTAGCAGGTGACACTAAGCAAAGCTTGACAGGATATGACAGTGGCTGCTGACACACACACTTTTTGTTTGTGCAGTTGATTCAGAGTGAGTGGTGACACTGTCTATTATCGTCCACTCACCAAAGATAAAGTTGTCAGGCCTGAATAGCTGTCCAAATGGCCCGGAGCGAACCGAATCCATGGTTCCTGGCTCCAGATCCACCAGAATGGCACGAGGGACATATTTGCTGCCTTTGGACGGAACATAGAGGTAATGGATGGAAGGGTGGAGTTATATATCAACAGTCTCAATCGGTCAGAACATTTGTGGTTAACTATTGCAAAAACATGACAGTATTTTAAAAAACGATTTCTTTCAAAGTAAGCATAACGATCTAAAGGAATTTTAATGCAGCAGTTCTGTTGGCTTATGTTATCTTTTTAGTCAACAACCTTTTGTTGGATGTATACTATAAGCTCTCCATCAAGCTGGATTCGATTGCATGGTGCTTTCTTTTGTTTGTTTGTTTGTTTAACTTTACTTCCCTCCCTTGTCAACTGTAAGCGTTATTGCAGGCAAACTGCTACAGTATGCTGCACTTCTTATTCTGGACCCGTGGAGCAGAGTGCTGAGTTCTGCAGAGTCTATTCAATCAAAGGTGACGTCTTTCTTACCCCTACCACTGATTTATTTTTGCTTATTTTCTGTGTATGTTTTAATGATGCTTTGTCTGGAAGTCCATCCTCTTCATTATGTAAGGAGAATATAATGCATGTGATGCTCAATCAATTGTCATTCAATAGTGACCCAGTAGTCTAATGCCAGCATGTGATGTGAAAACAAAGGATCAATAAAGCTTGCTGCTAGAAAACAGGGTAGTGCTAGTCAACATTAGGTGTTTTCAATGACAATGAAGGACCAACCCCTTCCTACACATGGAATGAGATCTGCACTGACTTGCCCTTCTCTGACACTCACAAGCTCACACAGAGCTGCATGATGACTGAACCTCGTTTTTTGTTTACTTCAATGCAGAGCAGCTGTGAGAAATGACACGCAATGACCTTGAACATGCACATGAATAAATCAGATACTGAGGTATGGGACCAAGGCACAGAGGGCTCGGGGTCAGCTATACAGAGAATGCACGTACCTGTGCTCCCTATAGAGAAAGACAAAGAGAGGGAGAGAGATATTTTAGCAGATTCACTGGCCTAATTTTCTCTGCACTCATAGTGGGACCTACTTTCCCCTTGCAGCTAAATTAGTGACATTGGCACACTGTGGCATTCAAATTAGGTCTATGTAGCATAAGGTCATGCACGAATATGAGTTATGGAAACAAAGCTTTATGTATATTATTAGTCTGATGCAAACATGTGGTTTATTTAAAACCAACTTATTTTACCTGATGCCTCGTTGTAGTATACATTTATCCTCTCCAGCTGCAGGTCACTGTCACCTTGGTAACTACCGGTGGGGTCGATGCCATGCTCATCACTTATCACCTCCCAGAACTATCATGGGACACACACAATCATATGAACTTCAATTGTTGTGGTTATGGTGCAACATAACATGGTAAAACAACGGGTTAAAGCGCGTGCGTCAGGCCTGCTTTTAGTAACTGCGCATCTGTCTGGTGACAAAATGACACGTAGCAGCGGGAGCACCATCACTGCACTGCCCGGCCGGACCCTGCACATATATAAACAATTAATGATATCTGAACAGTATTTATACATGCTGCACATGAAAGGACCAAAAAGTGGAATTGAATGATTCGAAAAAGTATTCAACATCCCAGGAATTAACTCATGGCAGGTTACGCATTTAAATCACGTTAATTATCTCACTTCCAAAATTAATGGTAATATTCATACCTTCGCCCCAATCTGATTACCACACTGTCCAGCCTGGATGTGAACGATTTCCCTCATGGTGAGCTGCAGATGCGGGCAGAGATGGTCTGTTGTTGTTACTTCACCGGCGTCCAGTCTTCAGTCTCTTGTCGCTGTGATTCCTCTCTAAATCTGCACTTGCTTCATTTCTAGAGCGAGTGTTGAGCCGGTGAGATAGATCAACGTGCTGCTGGTCAGATGACGTGACACACAGCGCAGCATCCCAATGTCCCCATCAGCCAATAGGAGAGCTCCAGTTTGATGCAGTGGGCTAGACGATTGTGCCGCATCATCCACCTGACATCACCCTGTCCCATGATGAAGGCCAAATGTTGCCTTTTCATCGCTGGACTGAGGCTGTTCTATAAAGCCAAGGGAATTATATATTCACTGTCATAAATGCTAAACTTTATAGTGTAATATGTATCCCAATGAAGGCTGCAGTTCTAAATAAACTGGTTGAATTGGGGCTATTTGAAAACATTGTTCAGAAGCAACTTTTATTCACCTGTATGAAAAAGTGTCACATATGCTGAAAAATCTAATTAGAACTTCTGATTATGCTTTTAACTCTGTCTATTAACTCTTATGGATTTGAGCTACTTCTATTATTAAGAAAAATACAACAGCCATGGCTGCATGCCCTGTCCTTATTTATTGAGCCGAGCCCCAAATGCTCATTTTGGCTGGAGATCCAGAAACAGACCTGTATTTGCATGCTGCAACCTGGCCTCAGATTTGCTGCAGCCACTTTTGATAATTTGTTAGCTAAGTAAGCGTATAAACTGCAATATGAAATATGTTTAAACTAGATTCTAAGACAAAGCCAAGACAAGTCAGGATTGGGTAAAAAGCAATAGCCTCCCTGCAGAGCCACAATACATGGTCTTTGGCAGGGCTTCTTGTATACAGTTGATAGCATTGCTAGCTGTATGCTGCCTGCCTTGAGGTTTTAACTCATTTTAGAGTCCCATACATCTAGCATGAATGTGTTATTCCCCTGACTTTTCTCCTAGCCCCACCAAGGAGGTTCACAATTGTGAAGAGAAATGTCTCAACAACTCTCGAATGGATTGTCAGTAATAATCATGTTTCTCATTGGATTTATCGTCATATTTTTGGGGTCACCTTTAGCATCAACATCAGGACGGCATTTGAATTTGTCAAATATATGGGTTGATGACTTAAAACCTAGAAAACTAATGACAAGCAAATTTGGTGAACATTAGACCTGCTTAACGTTATAATTTAAAGCATATTATGATGCAAATGTAAGTATTTAATTCAAAGCCTTTCTGAACTTAAATATATCCTGACTCTTCACCTTTGTAATTGTGCTTTGGCATATATATTTAAAATTTGAAATTGGTGTGCCTCAAACGCAGCATGTGTACAGCCTCTTTAGTGAGGCAGTGCTATTGAACTCTACTAATATGTTTTAGCGTGACATCTATTAAATCCATGAAATGTTACAAAATGAGGCACTCACTGATATCCAGTTGATCAATAAATAGTGGTTTATTTTTAACAACAGGTATGGCTTATATACAAGTGCATTACGTCTGTTAAAACAAAAAAACTAAATGAAACCAAACAATCAGAAATTATAAATGGTACAATCCATGGTTTTTACATTCATTCAAAATTCCCATCAGGAGGTTCTGGTCGCACGGTTGAGAGAAGCAAAACCTGAAATGTGTACACTGGGAACTTCATGTCTCTGAGATTGTTATCTATGTTTGAAATCTATTTATCAGTCCATGTTATCTTCATCCTGGCGACGCTGGGAGTTTCCACACATTTATTTACAAAGGCATAAACCACTCTTCTTTTTTTTTGCTTTTCTGCCTGTCACTCCTAGTCCACCATATCGCTGGTGCTTACATTGCTTTGGATTGCTTTCACTGATTTTACCCCAGATAAATGACCACCATCAGCACCGTGTAGCAATAGCTGCATGGGAGTTGTGAAAATGGAAGCAACTGATCTTAGAGAAGACACTAGCTGTGTTTTGCTGTGTCCCTGTCTTTACACTGGTGTTGAATGGAGGTTTGGCAATACAATACACAATACCTGCAATACAGAGACGAGAGACCAACACTTACAGACAACAAGCATGACAGAGTAATGTGAAGCCACTGACCACTGCAGTCAACATACATACTGCGGATGCCAACAATTCCTTCTTAAATCCAGTGTCAACACCCTCTTCCGCAAAGTGGATTACATGTGGGTCTATTGCAAAAGTTATTGGGTTACTTGTCATTTCTGCTTTCAAAATCCCACTTCATTTTCCCTTTTTTATACCCGTGAAGACGCCATGCTCCACCTAATTTGACATCACATGATTGCAGGGCATTGTGCTTTGAGGCTTAGCAGCATGGCATGTAAGACATTGAATGTTGATATGAATCTTTCACTTTATGGAAGTTTGACGACTTGAGGATCTAATAAAGATCAGTGGAATAATAGAAAAAAAGCTGCATCTGATGGAAAAAAAGGAGGTTTGCTAAATCATTCAGATACCAAAAGATATCGCCTTGTCAGTGCACATTAATCTCAGATGAAAGCAAAAGAGCAATTTGATGAGTAAAGTACCTGTAAGTGTACCACAACAAGGTATGACTGTGAGTAACACAAGTCTGTTCTTGTCTTTGACCTTTATAAATCATCAGTACTCCCTGGATTAATGTTGCATGATACCGTGAGAGAGTTGTATCGCAGTTAAAATGACAAGACATCATTCAGTTGGCTCTGAGATTAAGATTAAGATGATTATTTATCATTATTATTGTTGTAAACAGTTGTCTATCCGTAATCATACAAATTTCTTTGACAAATATTACAACTTCCATCCATGAAGTCCAACGACTGTCAAGCTTCACACAAGTCAAGTATAATGCTGTCCACAGACGGACACAGGCTTTGGAAGAGAAAGTGCCTCCTTATGCAAGAGTTTGTCAAATGTAAGATTATGAATAGGTTCATGTACAAATAAATAAGGATTTGACCTGTATTTTAAGATTTGTTTTTGACAAATATGATGTATTGCATTTCTTAAAAAGGCAAACTTAATTGTGCATGTGAATATATGAACACCTTGATATACATAAAACACATTGAACATTATGTCATCCATTGGTTTCATTTCAAAAATAGGTTTTGTGTATTTTTAAGGTTTGCATTTAGGGTTTGTTTTGCTGACACATTCACAATTATTTTTCATGCTTTGTCCCAACTTGCAAAGAATAAGGTGGCACCACACTGATGTGCCACAAATACTGTAAGAATGTAGCATAGCTTTGTACAATAAGGGCACGCTATGGGAGATCAATCTAAATAATACTTTGAATTAAAAAAAAGGCTGAATCAAGCCCAACAACTAATTATGCATTTACTAACAATATCGAATTTACAGATAAACGCAAATGCATACGATAAATTCCATTGACTGAATTGATTGAAAAAATAAAAGTTTCTTAAGACCGACAAAATATGGGTCATCCTTTCCTCTAATACCACTGTTCATACAATGAACCACATGTTGATGAAAGCAATGTTGCAATCTCCATCTCTCAATTTCGACGATCAAATGATGATATAGCTTTCAGTAATTTGATTTACTTCTTCTTTTATTTTGAAAAGGGGGTCATCTGATTCACTTGATTCTATACACAGTCTATGGCAGGGGACTGTACTAAACAGTATTTCCAGAAACAGGAAAAAACTGTATTTATACTAATTTGTTTTGGCACGGTCTACATTTAATTTTGGTCAGAGTAGTTTTTTGGCGTATTTAGAAAAACCCCTCCAATTTGGATTGTTTACCTCTTTAACGGCAAAAAAATACATTGCAACATTCAGATTTTCTTTTTTAGGTACACAGGTAAGGCGATATTTCTATACAAATATGTTAGAAGGACATTTCATTTAAGCAAAAGTACCAGTGATTTCATTTTTTTGTTTTGCGCATCTTTTTTTTCACCAGTACTCAGTGATTGTGGGTTTTAGTGGTAAGTCTTTTTAAAATAACAAACAGTGATTTTCAATTCATTTACATTAAAGTAGTTTAAAGGCTGGTGATTTCCAGTGACATTCAAAAAGAGCAGATACTGTCACATTTTCACAAACCAGCCTCTGGCACTCTCACTTGCGTGGTCTCATTTATTGGCCAAATGCAGGAAGGGGGGACATTGAGGAACGTACAGCATCTCCGTAAGACATGTCCACTCAACTCCAGGTGGGGACAATCTTCAGGAAGTGCTTGAAGTCTGAGTAGGACATTTCGTATCCACCTCTGTGCCCTCATCTGGGTTATTCATGTGACGTGGGCGTCTTCCTCGTGCAACTTTCTCCTGGCTGCAACACTGGATCATAACGAGTCCACGCCATTGACAGTGTTGTTTTCTGTGCTGGCACTGTCACTGATAAAAAGGACGCCAGAGTCTATGGGGGAGGAAACGGTGCAGTCCATAAGAGAAGACGGAGCTGCTTCTGTAGATCCTGAATCTGGGATGGGAGTTGGTGCTGAATCTACAGAAGAGGAAGCTGCTGAATCCTGCGTGGGTTGAATAGTCAGAGTGGTAGATTCTGGAGTGGAGGTGGGCACAATGTCTGTGACGGGGAGAACGGTAGGAATTTCTGCAGTGGTGCTGACAGTATTTATAACAGGGGGAGTAGAAGAGGCCTCTGAGGGTGTATGGCCTGAGTCAATGGGTGGGGGGGGAGTGGGTGAGGGGAAAACAGTGTCTGTGCTAGGGGGAGTAGGGGGACGAGGGGATATATCATTAACACAAGGAGATGTTGGGTCTAACTGTAGCTGTTCAGGGTCTATAACAGGAGGTATGGGGGAGTCTCTATTTGAAGGAGTGGATGTAGATTGTTCCACTATTTCTAACTGGGTGGGAATGTCAGAGTTTGCACTAATGGAGGGCGGAAGGTCAGTGGAAATGTGGCAATCTGGTACTGGAACTGGGGAGGGGGTAGGGGATGGAGGGAGGCTGTCATGCATGGATGGAGTAGGCAATTCTGCTCGAGGTGACTCAGGCAAAGGTGGGTCAATTTTCAGGGCGATATCACTGATCTCATTTTCCATTGGGTTAGGGGATTCTAATGTGGAGCTAGGTGGGGGCTCAATGGTGGGTGTGGTGCAGATCTGGGAGGAGGCAAGCACAGTTTGGGGAAGGGGGGGAGTGGAGCGGTCTAATGAAGGAGAGGGGGTCGCTGCTGACTCTTTTGTAAGGGAGGGACCAATGCCTTTCAATTCAGGACTGGCAGAATTCTTCAATGGCTCAACAGATTCCACGACTACTGATTGAGGTTCTTCGACATGGGCTAAAAGTGGGTCTGTGGCGCATGGTGGTTGGTGTGAAGGAGTGGAAGACAGCAGGTGCTCTTTACTGGCATATATGACGCCATCTTTACCCAGGGTTGGGTTGATGGGAGTTTTGGATAAGGATGGAAGTGAGTGACCGTTGGGGTCTTTAAGCACAGGCTTGCTGGGGTTCAGCTCGATGAACACTGGAGCGGATATATCTCCCACTGACAGAGCGGTCAAATCAACAGCCGAAGAGGCCGTGGAGTCCATGGTGGACACGGCAGTGGCGGCTGCTTCGTGGAGCGGTGTGTCGTGCACCCTGGTGTAGTCCCTGCTGCTCTCAGACTGAGCCAGCAAGAGGCGCTGTTCTCCAGGTTTCCTCGGGGGGAGGAGAGGTTGACGGGTGTATCTCTCGCCGTCAGCCAGGGTCTCTGGGAGGGGCTGGTAGCGTGTCTCGGGCAGCAGGAGAATGCAGATGATGCAGATGAGAGTGCAGCAGGCAAAAATTATGTGGTGAAGAAAGTAGCCCTTCTGATTGTGGAGCTCCATGATGGGTGCAGTCAACATGCCAAAGCCTGCGCTGGCTAGGACCAGACCCAGCCCACCACCCCTGTGATGAGAAGGAAAATGTTATCACATTATGATCAGACACACCCAAAAACCTATAATCTCCAAACAAACCACTGAAGGAGAAGATTGTTTACTATAATTAAAGTAATTCATGATCTACACGTTGTACTGAACTTTCACCTACTTCATTTGCATAAAAGGAAGGATCTGTGTTCTCTCTTCGGTTGATGGGTGATTGCCATTTGAGCAAACAGCAGTAGAGAGTGCTGCAGCACCATTAAACACCCTCCTCTAAAAGCATACTAATTCCCTTCCTGTAGTTGCCTAAATTCACCACCAGAGGTCGTCCTGGGAGCACTGACAGCACGACGACACCGTTTACATAACCCCAGATAATAAACATCCAGTGCTGTGTCATATATTCTCAAAGGGGATGGTTAATTTGTACAAGATGTGGATTACATTTGACACTGAACCGTGAGAGTCTGTTCAATGATTTCATACCCTCCTTTAACAGGAGGTGGAACCGCTAATCCATCTGCAGGAACAAGTGATGCTATGGACACCAATGATAATATTAACTGAATTATAAATTAATCAGGACATTAAAACAGATCTTTCTGTAACACATCCAACCAGATGGCTTGACAATGCACACATTAGAGCAAACATGAGTACAATGTGGACTGTTCCTTCACATTTGTAATGTCAAACGTTGTCTAATACAATAAAAACACAGCTATTTCCCTCCTTAGGGTAAATTCACTTTTGCAAAACGTGTTGTTCTTTCTCTAATCGTACAAGTCTCATTGTTTCAGTGGGCCTACCTTATCACAGTGGGAGTGATCTCGGCACAGAAAAAGATGCTCAGGTTGCTGACTGCGTGGGAGGAGAACATGCCGATGATAGAAAAGGCGACGGAGAAGTTCTTATTCAGCGTACCTGAGTTATCTGCAGACAAAGCAGGAGACACAAATGGCAATTTCTACTCTGTGTAATCAGTAGAAAACATAGGTAAAGGAAGCTGGGAAACATATTTTCAAAAAGCACAATATATAGTTTAATATTCCTAAACAACATACGGAGATTAGACAATGGGTTACTGTGAATTCAACTGGTGAAAATTAAGGATGTATGGAAGTAAAGAACGGCCATAAAAACTTGAATTTGTACATGCAACTGTATATCTGATTTTGAAAATTATCCAGTATCAAATACTTCCATTGTACTTTATTAGGGTGGGGGTTATTTTTTCTAAGTTGTGACATTTAAACGTGACTTAGAGGATGTGACCTGATAGGAAAGCTGTGATTGATTCTTTTTAGACCTGATTTGATTCTTTTTTATTTATTTTGTATTAAAAAGGCACTTGACGTTTTGAAATTGTTCAATTTCAAAGCACTCAAACCCCATGGATGGAGTTCAAGGTAAAATACTCCAATGCTACAAACCAATTGAAATGTCAACAACTAACTATCCAGTAGTGGTCTAATAAATACAAAAAAATAACTGTTGTGGCATTGCTTTGTTTTCGTAGAATAAATGTAGTCTGATTGTAGTCCATTCGACTGATGAATGTAGAATTAATGTGTCTATTATTACTCGAGCATTTAGTAAACCAAAATGAAAAGTGCCAATAAAAATGGTTTGCCTGACGCTAATGTGTATTTTCTCAAGTCATTAAAGATTGGGTTTCATACTAACAGCCCATTCAGATCAAAGATGGTTTGAATACAGTTGATATCTGTTGAATGAGTGATGTTCAAGATGGCATAAAGAAGATCAGAGGAGACTGCTCTGTGATCAAAAGAGGGAATAGTGACGGAAAGCTGATGGTGAGATTCACAGCTCAATAACAAAGAAGCTCACCCTCTCCAACACAAAGGGGCTAAATAAGTGAAAAGCTAGCCATAATCACATCTAGGAGTTCATTATCCATCTGCAGGGCTTGCATACGCCTAATGAAATACTGCAGGATGTCTATGCAGCACATTTCGAAAAACCTCATCAAGATAATGGAGCAACTTAAGTGGATTCAATTCACACTTTGAAAGAATGTGAAGCAGATACAAAATTATATTGTATATAAAACATCGGAGCAAGACTACTCAATACTTGATCAGTTTATCTATTCCAAAAAGAAAATAAATGAAGACATTGATTTACCTATATTCAGATGGCCACTGTACTTCCCCACCACTAAAGGGAAATAAGAGATAAACAGATATTTATCAGCCAAAAACACAAGCAGATCATGAAATACACTCAAGTCAAACATTAAAAACAAAACATGCACAAAGCTTGTCAACACACACACACACACCCACTGTTACAACATAAAAAAGCTCTGGAGAAGAACATGAAATAGGAGTGTAACCTTGATGTGTTGACTCTGGTTAAACATTAAAGCTTGCTCATTTGTAACTAAATAAACTGGTACACATTGACCAAAACAGCAGTTTGAAATCTTGTTCGACCACTCCATTAGAAACAACTGACGTCACCCACATAGTTCACTCACCACCTCAGGTGAGCCACACGCAATATGGGGTCGGATTGGTCTTTCTTTTAAATGCAATTCATTGATTGCACTTCAAGTCAATAATCTGTTGAATTATCTCCGCTATGATAGGGGTTCCTGTCTGACAACAGAATAATTTTGTCCAAAACCATTTGTTTTCATTTTTATGTATTCATTCAGATTTTTAAAACTGAGTTCCCTTTTTTTCATTTTACCTTACTTCCCTAAGATCAAATCTTAAAAACCTGTGACCCAATGATATTGTTTCATTAGGTAAAAAGGCAAAAGTAGAGGAATTGTTGATTGTAGCACATAGTATTTTGTTGTTTCGGCCATGAATGAAAACACATTTTGTACACTAGTGAGTATTTTCAGCAGCAGGATGTTTATGTGGACTCAAAATAACAGTGCCCATGTTCATTGTAATTAAGTCATTGGGAAACAGTGGAGCATTGTGGCACAGAGGAATTAGATGTATGTGGCTTTGGGTACATAGAATATAGTAGATAGTTTGGATCAGTTCATTGTTGGTTTAGGTCTTCTCATGGGATTTGTTGGCAATCAAAAAAATATAGAACAGAACCAGCAAAAAAATTACATTCTTCTTCACCAAAAACCAAGATACGATATATCCTATAATTCAAAACATGTTATAGAGCTTCTTTGGATTGAGTGATTGAGAGTGCCACAGATATTTAAAGCCACTAAACACCACCAGTGTGAAATCTTCCTAAGTGGACATGTTTCCCTCATAAAATACTCACAGTTAAGCAGGCCCAACTGCAGTAGAGATGCCAGGGCAGTGATGATCATAAACATGAGAAGGCCCCCCCTCCGGCCCATCAGGCCCACGGCCGGGCACAGGGCCATGCAGGAGGCCACCGCAATGCCCGCCATGGTGTAGTAATCTGCATAGAAGTTATGGAACATGGTCGTCTCCTGAGCCTCAGGGTCCATCATGCTGCGGGCGAAGCAGTGGTGGATCCCATAGCCTGTTAGCCTGGGTGAAGAGCAAAAACAGGGCTAGGTAAGGAGATACTAGTAGATCAGAGAGAAAATGACAATGTTTTAAAGAAACCAAAGAAGGAAGGGGCAGAATTGTGAACACAACAAAATATGGAGAAAATAGATCCAAGCATAGTGTTAAAGATGAAGAGGTTGGGAGGAGATGGAAGAGGAAGAGAGATAATTCAAGGTTTATCATGTTTTCTCCCAACATATCTCAAAAGAAACATCAAAAGATATGTAAATACTGAGTCACTGACACACACACACACACACACTGCTGGTTGTCTAATGTTTCATAAGGACACAGCTCATGTAAAATTCATGCTGACTTGGGGGGTTAGGGATACCGTGCACTAAAGCAGAGTTAAAGCTGGCTCAGCCTCGCTAGAGATTAGTTCTCAGATGGAGGGGAGATCCCACCGGAGATGAAAAGAGAGAGCAGCACAAATATGGAAGGGAAGAAGCATTCAGGGCTACTGATCAATGCCGTTTTAAGCCTCAAGGTTAATAGTGCCATCTCGTCTGCACAAAATGGCGCGTCTGACTGGCATTGCCACACACACACACACACACACACACACACACACACACACACACACACACACACACACACACACACCACACACACACACACACACACACACACACACACACACACACACACACACACACACACACACACCACACACACACACACACACACACACACACACACACACACACACACACACACACACACACACACACACACACACACACAGTTATTACTGCTGTATTTCTAAGTGCTAAAGCAAATGGCAAACACTTACGAGTTGACACAGAGCACAACAATGTTCTTCCACAGGTTTCTCGTCCCGACCATTTTCACAATGCACGTCTTCTTGTGTTTATTTTGAAGAGCTCTCTGCAGTTCTGTGAGAAAGCAAACATGTTAATCTTAGCACCTTACATTGGAGGGTCATACAGTATCAATATTTGAGCATAACTTTAACTGTAGCAAAGGGTGGCAAGTCTTAATTGCAAGGTCTGCCTTGTTTTCCCCCCACAAAAAGATAGTTTGTGTAATGTGACTGCTATGTAAGCTATGTATTGCTAATTAAAATGTGTTCAACCTGTTATATATACACCTAGTAGTTATCCTTAAATGATCTTTCCTTTGCCAATTACCTGTCATATTTTTCAGGGCTGTGACTAAGATATGTTCAACAGATGACAACAAATTAGAAGCAATACAGTTCACTGTAAATTATTAAACATTAATGTAATAACATGTCTAACACAAGTATTTAGAAAATCATAGGTACAACCCTTAAATGCAGGCTATAAAATACTGTCTGCATATCAGCCAACATTTACACTGATTCCAATAACATAATTATGTGATATGGGTGAATATCAACCTGCTCACAGTATAAATCCATCAGGCTTTAGTTAATATAAACATATTAAATTGAGATGTCAGGTCAAAGTAGAATTTAACTTATTAATTTGCAATGACAGAAAAATACAAATACATTTTTGATGAGCACATTTGAGCTTCCGCTGCTTTGTGAAACACACAAATAACTGTTCTCACTGTAGAGCAGGAACAGTTCTTGATAAATATGCTGGTGATGTGTGACATGCACACGGTGGATGTTTTGGTATCAGATTGCGGGTTGCCACAGAAACACACCTCTGCTTTGTGCAACAGTATGTTCACGTTGACTCAGGCACGGGACAAAATTCCACACACCGCCTCAAGGTTATCTCGGCTGCATCACTCAGGGTTTCCTGTGATCCCCTGGCCAGGCTTCAAACAGGGACTAAGACTCTGCCCACCAATTCACATGTTTCCGCTCACTATCCAAAGATGACCTAATCAGCAGTTACACATGCATCGGTCATGTCCGAGCGATTAAAAAAGTTGCTGTGCTATACTGGAAGTTTGTACATCCAGTGCCCAGTGTTGTATTTAATGCTGAGCAGTTAAAAGTAGGAAATATTACAGGAAGGGTTGAGGACAGCCAGTTACTATAAAAAAAAAGACAGATGATAAATTATTGTCTGTGGCAATGTACTTTACTTAATGCTGCCTCAGCACACAGTTCTTAAAAAAGTGCAGTCAATTTCACACCGACTAGTTCCTCTTTGAACCTTTTCCCAGCTGTGGCACTGTTTTATTTTTGTATGGATTGATAAATACAGTGAATAGAAGTAGACAACATTGACAGCGCTAACGAAGGCAATCTGCTATGACGTTAAACAACAACACAGTTCACTCTTTCGTGATAGCAGGTCTTCTGAGTACAGACAGAGACAGTTAACCCAGAGTCAGAGTGCATGACTCGCATCCATCTGCCGTCTGCACACCATCCTGTCAGCTCTAACTGAGGCTTTAACGAAATGAATGATCGTTGTAGAGTGTCATAATGTAATGTTCAACACCCACTGCTCTCTGGACTGGCGCGTAACTATGGTAACGTAGCAGGAAGCAGATATAACCTTGTCAATCTGTTTTATTGAGGAAAGCACAGCTGGATATACTACCACTCACCCAGCTCTTTAAAAAGGAGAACAAAATCTAAGCTTGGAAGATGGCACTGACACAATGACTACTTTTACATGAAGAATCCATCGACATACATGCAGTAATAATAATATCAAAATGTAAAAAGCAGCCTTTGATTTCAGATTTCGTAAATCAGTATTTTATTACCTGTGAGGATATTATCCGGGTCCAGCTCCATGTTCACTTGGTTTTTCTTTGCTATGTGTCCCATGATCCACTTGGAGCGGCAGTACTGCTGGGTGGCCAGCAGCCAACGCAGCGACTCAGGGAAGATCCTGCCAGAAAGATGGGGATGTCCTCGTTAATAACACATCCGAAATGACTCCGAAATCAATCAATCTCGCTTTTAAAAAGGCAGATTGAATGCTTTATTATCTAGTATAAAATCTGGATTTTAGTTAACCAGTGTGCCATTTCAACACATTTCGATTGAAATGCAGAAAACTATTTAATGGCAACCTACAGAAAGATTAGAAACTGTATCATAAACAAGAAATCCAGCTTCACAAACAAACACTCGCATTTACAGGTGGCGGGGCCCAGATGTCTTCACAGGGGGAACAACAAACAAACACATGACTGTCAGCCATTGTTATCCCTGTCTGCATTTGGTATGCTCTATTATCTTGGATTTGTATTGCGTTATGTCAATCCTGTGAGCGTTCAGGTTTCTCCTCGCAGAAGCATGTCGATGTGAAGACAGTCAGCAGAAACCATGCCTCATTAGCTTCAGCTAGTTGCATTTCTCTGGAACAGATGTCTACAGTATATGCAGGATTAATGACATTTCACTGGTGTTGTTTTAACTTTTTTCCCCCAAATCAGCAAACTAAAATCTCTAGCAGAGTTGAACTATTCAGCCCAATCAGCTGTTATTTCTATATTTGCAGACTCAGCCACTTGATGAATCCCATTTGTACCCATAAACACTGTCTGTCCTAATCAGTTAAGCCAACATGGGTCCATAATGTCCTGAGTCAAGCTTGCTGATTCATTTATTATTCTCAGTAGTTTGTGCTTTGTGGACAGCTCTATTACATCAGTAGAAAAAGGCTACATTGTGAGCTGGTTTGCCAATGAAAGCTTGCCCTTCACCCTGCAGAACAAATTCACCAACTGAAATCCAGTAATATATGCGAGATAAATATCAGTTTCACAACCCACTTCTGGTAGTTTTTTCAATCCACCATTGCCATGATCACATCAAAGCAGACAATGACAAATCCCTTTCCACAGCTTAGTCACCTGACTGCTCGGTTATTGTTGTTTGTTTTCACTCACGATAACAGTGACTACCCTGCCAAAGGTTACTGACTCATGCTCTGTGTCTGTAGAAACCACCATCTATCTGTGCTGTTCCCTCTGTCCTACAATTATTGAAGTGCATCGTATCACTAGTATTGATGTTTTATCGATAGATAAGTGCTTTGGAGTGCTTTTGACTTTTCCTGAATGGAAACAGTTAATTCTCAAGGCTCACCATTGAGGAAAGCCAAGGACTTTGATAACTTGATAGAAATCTCTATTTTATTTATTTATTTTTGCTGGCTTTGTACACATCAGCCTTGCTGTGGAGCACTTTGCATTGAATACATACATGGTGGTTAATGCAAGACTTTATACTGCCTGAGCTTAAGCAAAAATAAATGTTACTGTAGAGATCACTGCAAATGAGTAAACAAAATACATTACATTTAATTCAGCTGGGAATTTACTGATAAGCAAATGTCCTTGCAAAGAAGACTTTCTTTGTTTGAACTATGTAAATCTCCTAGAGCATCTATGGCTTAACGAGGTTTTATTAAGACATTGGTCGCTTAGAATCTAATACATGTAGGGTACAGTGTTTCCCCTAGGATGGAGTCATAGCAGCGGTGCTAAGGCACGTGGGCCTAGCATAATGTGAGCGTGGAGCGCGTGGAATTTTTTAGTGTGCACGTGCGAAGTGCGCCCCGCCAATTTGTTTCTATGTGTCTGCCAGCACAAGAAAGGCTCTTGAGGCCTAGTACCAGGACCGGTTCTAGCCAATTTGTTGCTCTAGGCGAGATTTTAGGCGAGATTTTATATATAAAGAATAAATGAAAAATCTCTACAAAAGACAAATGCACTACAAAAACAGAAACGTATTGACATAGGTAATATATGTCAAAATTGCTTCAAATGTATTCAGTATTGTATGAACATGTTTGAATTGAGGGGTGGACGTCACATCCTCTAGGGGGGACCGGGGGATGCTCAAGATTTATTTGAACATTTGGTCAAATTAAAAGTGTAACCGGGGTGAAAAGGGTGTTACATTTACTTAATTATGAATGTTGTTACATCAAGGCCGAAAATTAGGATGAGCGCCAACGGTCAAAAATGTTTTTTCCCCTCCCAGAGCTACCAGCGCAGCGCCCCCCAGATCTGGAGCCCTAGGCGACCGCCTATACCGCCTATGCCAAAAATCGGCCCTGCCTAGTACATACAGTGGCAATGTCTCAAGATTTAGCAAAAATACACTTTTATTGAACTTACAGTAACACAAATACTACAAATCAACATAACCAACAATCAAAAATGAAAAAGGGTCGCCACTTATTATTATTTTAATTAAAAAAGTAAAGAAAATATTTTTTTATTATTTTTTTTTGGGTACCTGGCTGGCGCCCCGTAGCAGTGGCGCGCATATATTTGTATATAGGGGAAACACTGGAGTATGATTGCAGATGGCGTCACATATTTCAGCTTCTTTTTAAACTGATTAACACCTTTTAAAATTCAACAGAAAACAAAAAGATGGGTTGGTGCCAAAGTGCAGCAGATGCCCAGGTATTTTCCTTACCAGATGTAGGACAGCATCAGCAGCAGGGGACAGATGATGACAGCTTGGAGGACCTGCCAGTCGCGACAGAGGTACGCCACTCCAGGCATCAGCAGCTGACCGCCCAGCACCACAAAGCTAGCCACCATGGTCATGGAGAAACGCCATCCTGGTAGGCAGAGCTCGATCCCTGGGGGAGAGAACAAAGAGGAGAGAAAAAGGAAGAGGGCAAGTGTTATAGGTGTTCTGCAACACACAAAGACACAAAAAGTAGCATGTTCAGCAACAAAGCAACTATATATTTTAATAATACAAGCACACATCACCATTTATAACTGTTTCCTTGCTATCTGTATGGAATATGGTTGGCATATCTAACTCCATGAGGTAAAGATTTTAAATGACATTTGACACAAATTTCACAATGGTATGCCAATGATGTAAGGGAATGACGAAAAGCGTCAGCTAGGTTAGTACGAATGTATATTTCCCAAATAATCTCAACTGCAAGAATACTACAACATTTACTAAAAATATATACAAAACTAGACGGACACTTGGAGAGTGCCGACCTCCATCAGGGCCATTCATACGAGTGAGAAATGATGTGTTTATTCACCCAGGTAATAAAACAAGGTGATACGTACATTAACAAAGTATTTGCAGTTACCATTATTGTATAGTTTGACCCCTGTAATATGTGTAAGTTATGCTACAGCTTGTGATGCTTGAGTGACTTTGAAAATAGTAACTTGCTGATAAGAACTCAAGAGAGACATGAAATGTAACCTTGGCTATAGATTTAATATCTACCCCGTCCAGTATTTATCCTAAGTAAAATATGGGATCTTAGCTGATGCTAATGCTCACAGAAACAGGTCAAAGTTAGTAAATACATGTTTTGGTATGATACAAGACAGACAACATTTAACGTTTGAATACTGAGACTTTTAACACAAAGAAACACCTGAAACTAGTTTACAGCTTGCAAGCCAGTTACATCCAGAAAAGCATGCAAGAATGGCCTGGCAATTAATGCTTCTATCAGTATAAATTAGATCTCTTTTGAAAGTGGACTGTTCTTTGAAAAAAATCATCCATATGCTTAAACAATTATTCTCACTTTTACAACTACAGCGCGTGACAAATGTTGAGACATTAGATAAAGGCAATTAATCAGCACATACAGTTATTGTTCAGAGGCACCAGACAGACCAGGACAGTAGGCTGCTGTGAGAGTGAATCAACTAGAAAGAGGTTCCTTGTGCTCAATTCTCCTCTATCAGAATGGCACTGATTCATTCACCCAACCATTAGCATGCACACCACACTGGCAGCCAGCAACCACAGACAGTCCAGCCCTTCAGTTACTGCAGTGTAGAAGATGGCTTCACATCACCATAGAATAGTGAACAGCACAGTAATGCTGCTATTCTCGCAAAGCCAAAATCGTTTGTCCTGCTTCATTCATCCTTTTTTCTTATACTTCACTATATGTTTCCCTAATGGGCCATTGCTGCTGCCCAAGAATGTAACAGCCTCCAGATGGGCCTTTCAAGGTGACAGGGCCAGCATAATACAGTGGGTGTCTGCGGGCTTGCTTAATTCCAGTGGAAAAGACCGGAATTTCAATTAGGACTTGCCCCCTTCTGAGGACATGAATAATGCTCTCTGTTCAGACACTACCGCAGCTGGAATGACAAAGCCAATGAGCTGAAAGCGGGGTGATCGGTGCAAGACCTGCTGAGTTTGAACCAAGTAACCTCGAGACCCCTTCTCTGTGTACTGCTGGGAGAAAAGTGACGGTTCACTGCTCACAGACTGCATGGGATTTGAATTCTTCGGTTATGTATAAGGCGTCATGTGCACTGAACAGGCCACTGCATTGTGACTGGGAAAGTACATCCTGTGGTTGGCTATGGAAAAATGCTCACATGCACATATAAAGAAATGACAGGACAAACTAAATTACAAGTAAAGAGATTTTAGAATAAATGTTAATACATATAAAATAGGAACATGTCCTGTAGATGGAGCTGAAGAATGAGAAACCATAGTTTGATGAAAGGAAAAGAGGCCTGAGCTCCTTCCTCAATCCGACCCTAATCCTCAACAACCCACAAGATCAGCATTCCCACAATGCCCTGCTGAAGCCTGTGTTCTACTGACATAAATCTACCACTAACTAATCTGATGAAACATAAAATAAATGTACCACAGATGCTAACCAAGGAACTCAGGGGTGATGAAACAAGTAGGACATACAAACTATTAAAAATAGCCCAATTGAAATGAATTTTCGACACACTATACAAAGTGTAAATGACATCATCATTGATCAAGCCAAATAGCCAAGTGATGATGATGATAATCCCCAAAGAAGCTTTGGCAGGTTTGCTGAAGTTGGCAAAACCAGAATATATAAATACCAGTCTCTAGTAGTAGTAGCCACCTAGCCTCATGTCAAGTACACAGCTAAAGGAGGCCCATTGTTTTACAACTGAAAGAGATTAGTTGACCACTAAATGCACTCAGTGTAGCCGCACCCTATACCCACAGGCTATCATGACCTTTCACTGGTCACATGACGTCCAAGATTCCACGGCCTATCTCGGCCACTCGATCTGTTAAGCGTAACTTGATGATGAGAAGACATTGAGGCGTACCGTATATCTGCACTGAAAGATAACAAAGGTTTGATTGAGTTAGATTTTTATGGCATAATTAGAACCTTTTCACAAGTGCTGCAAACAGGTGTCACATGTGGCGTGCATCTGTATTTTAGTCGCTTTGGATTCTCATGCCTCAGGGTCAAACGTACCAGATGGTTCCAGACCACTGATCTCCTCCCATATATCTGATTTGTTGAGCTTCCTACATAACTCTAATGTTGAGCTAATTAACCAATGTTTCCTTTAGTTCGAGAAACAATCGACTAATCAAGGTCTTGTCAATACAATTGAAAAATGGGATTCGCTACTTTTCCACATACATTACAAATTGTGAGCTCCCAAGTCTCCTGTGTGTGTGTAATTAAGTTGAGATGCGTTGACTGTAAAGGCCAATGATTCGCATCATTTAAGCATTTTCAAGCTCATAAAACCAAGGACCGTTTGTGCCCACTTGCATTTGTTGAGGCCTTTAAATTTGTCGTCTGTTTACTGATGCTAACTGTTCAAGTCTCCATGTTCATGAGGGTGTTCTGCATGGGGCTAACTCAGACCTCATTGGGAAAGTGTTGAGCTTTATCAATACATTGTTAAAGCTCCACGCCCTCAAAGCTGTGGTCACAGATGGAAATGCTTGGCAAGACCAAACTGGATTCAGGCATGTGCAAAGCTGCTGATTCGTTTTTGGAGTGCTTCCTGTGACTGACAGGCCAGTGCAGCATTGTCAGAAAACAGCACTTCCCTGATTAGGAACTAATGAACCTTGGTCTGGGGTTACTGCAGATCGAAGAGATTTTTCTTGGTGAAGGCAAATTGCATCCTCAGTAGAACATAGTGACCACGCAGCAAAGGAAACCAAACAGTGTGGGGGCGAGTGCACACTGTTCAACTCACAGTTTACAGGCACAGTCTCTGAGAAGAGGACACATTTCTCTTAAGGTATCCCTCACATCTTTATAGAATTGAATCATCCAAAAGCTGTGACAGAAAGCCAATCCTACTGATGGTAGATCATTAAGCTTCTGGGTATAAACTGGTGAAAACAAACTGTAGTTATGTGACGTTACTCTTCAAACCAAACAATGCTCAAAGGGGAGATTCCACAGTATTTTTCTTTATCACTTTGTTTATATATTAGGTGATTGTGTTGGCACACAAATATCCTGAGCCCCCCCCCCCCCTTTCTTCAAGAACTAAAGAGCGGCTATTGACAAAATGGGGTCATACTCATTGATTAGTCCCTTATCTGGGAGCAAAAAGAATGCCACAGGCATTTCTCTTTCATCTGTTTGTATTGAAATTCTCGTTATGAAACCACAAGTAAAAACCCACCAGAAGGGCATTTTTCTTTGATATAGGTTGTGCTTTAGTGTGTTTTTATGTCCTAACCATCCCACCACAGCTTCCTCCTTCCTCCTACACAGTGAAAAATCTGCACAAAACAGAGCTACTGGCTCTTGCAGAACACAGTAACTGACACAAACACAGCTGAAACGGCATCAAAAGAAAGGGCAAAGGGGGCCCCTGCTGATTTTGACAATCACTGGACTACACTCAGGAATTTGCGACATGAGATAGCTTAAAGATGTCTGCAATGTCTCTCACAAACAACAAAGGTTAAAAAGTAGACCATGACAATTAGGCCACCCGATGTGCCTTTTAATAGGGAAGCAGTCTCCTTAAAACAAAGAAACGTTAAAAAAAACAGATGTAGGATTATTTCCATGTAACCTAATGTGTTATCAGAGGAAGTCTGCTGGGCAACCAAAAATGCAAGCTCTGCACAAAAGGAAACTTTAACCCTGCATAGAGGGAAAGAGAGTTTGCACCTTGACCCATTTATCAGGAGGCAGCTAGAGCGTGGAAGGATGAGGAGGGGTCATCCTGTGTATAATGGAAAATACCTTTCTTTGGCTAAAAATCATTGGCTGCCTGTACACAGCCTACATCTATGTCCTAGCCTCTCTCTCGTTATACTTTATCATCCTTAATCCTAAATAAATAAAAAGTCTCCTTAGTAAGGTCCATCTTATGGCAGCACAATACTTATGCAGTGGTGTGGGGTGAAGTTGACTGCTGTCCTCAGGGAGGGATAGCTATAAGATGGGAAATGAAAAGCAGATATGGCACGCAGTTCTCAGGTCAGGCCAGATTGAGCGATATCCATCAATGCCATAGGCACAAACAGTTTAAACCCTGAGATCATGACAGTCTAGGAAAGGAAGGCAAGCATACAGGCCTTCTGTCTGTCAGAATGTACCAACAAACAGGAACATGACAATTCCACAATAAGCCATTTCCACAGATAAATAAACTTAGAGCTTCTGCTGTCCCTTGTGCCTCACCTACGCATAGAGAGATTAATGTGTGTGGTGACAGCAGGGCACCCCAGAGGAAAATAGAACCTATTACAAGCGACTCAGGAAGTGTGAAGACTGTCTTTCCCTGGCTAACCTTAAGAACACAGCAAAGCACTGCAGCAGGAAGCATGCAATGCAGAGCATCCTGTCGGAAGCGAGGA